TTTAATGTTTATTTATTCTTGAGAAATAGAGATAAAGCATGAGCAGGGGAGGGGCAGAGAGAGAGGGAGACACAGAATCCGAAGCAGGCTCCAGGCTCTGAGCTGTCAGCACAGAGCCTGAGGCGAGGCTTAAACGCAGGAACCACAAGATCATTACACACTTCGACCAAGTGCCCAAGGAAGTTCAAGTTTAAAGGAGAACTCATTGTAGGTGATATTACTCAGGGAAGTATTCATGGAAAGGACAGGATTCAAGTTAGGTCTCAAAGCATATCCAGATTTATTTAGAGGAAGAGTGGAAACCAAAAGGAAGGTATAATGCACACAGCATTCTTAAGAACGAGAAGTAGATGAGCCTTTGCAAGAGTTGTATATTCAAACCAGGGAAGGGTTTAAGTCAAAATTGGAAAAATAAGCTGAAATCAGATTATGGAAAAATATGAACCCCCCAGGTGAGAAATGCTTTCTTAATCATATGGACAAGGAAGACACTGACAGTCTTCTAGCTAAAGAACAGCCCAATGAAAGCCATGTTTTGCATAATTAAGAGTGATTGCCTAGAGCTGGTGGTTAGGGAGAATGGGGAGTGAATGCTAATGCATGTGAAGTTTCTTTTTCGGCTAAGTAAAATGGCCTAAAATTTGATTTTGATATGATAGTTGTACAATCCTAAATATATTTTTTAAAAAATTGAACTGAAGGTGCCTCGCTGGCTCGGTCGGTAGAACATGCAACTCTTGATCTCGGGGTTTGAGTTCAAGCCCCATGTTGGGTATAGAGATTACTTTAAAAATGTTTTTTGGTTTTTTATTTTAAAACATTGAATTGCATACTTTAAAGAGGTGAACTTAGTGGTATGTAAATTGTACGTCAAAAAGTTGTTAAAATTTTCAATTGGATAACAGCATGCAAGATAAAGGGGCAGGGGAACTAGGAAGACCAGGTGACCAATTAGGAATTCACTACATAATCCAAACTTGTGGCAATGAAAAACTAAGCTAGGGCTTAGCAGTAGGAATAAATATTAGAGATACAGAAAAAAATACATACAGCTTGAAGTTGCTGTGGAATGAGCTCTCAGAAACTCAGAGCTGAAAGGGTCTTTGGGGCCTGTCTGGTGTGATGAAGGAATCTCTTTATAAAGTTACAACCCCAAGGTCCTGTTTCTACTTGACCACTTCCAGAAGTTTAAAAAAAAAAAAAAATCAACCCAGTTAATTCCAGTATTATCAAATGTTCCTTATGTCGAACGAAATCTCTTTCTTTAACTATTGATTTCTCCATGTCTGTTTACCCCATAGCCCACTGTCCAACAATTTTTTTTCTTAAGGTCAAACTTCCCCAGTTCCACCCTTTAGATAACTTGTAACAACCATCTTCACAAGTAGTGCCCAGCACTAACCCATTAAATGTACCTTAAGCATTTGGTAGAACAGAACTGTCTTTATTAAAGATGCTTTCAATACAGAATTATGCTCCAAAGAAAATATGCACGAATTCAAAGAAACTATGATCAATAAACACATGAAAAATGTTCAACATCACTAATCATCAGGGCAATGCAAATCAAAACTACAAGACAGCATCCCACACCTATTAGGATGACTGCTATCCAAGAAAGAAAAA